ACATACGAAATGTCAAAAAGCAGAGGAATCATGGCAATTTCTCTCTATTAGAAAGTAGAAACAGAAATGAGCAAAGTTTTCTTCATCAAAATAGCCCATCAATTATTTATTATATCACAATAACTGGTGACTACCTGTACAGATGCACTATGGTCTTCATACTTACACTCTATACAAAATGTACATTCAAGCTGGGTCTTGACTACCGTCAATAAATACCAAAGGTAAATTGCCATTAGTGTTAGAAATATGCCAGGATTCTTTTGTTCAATTATTGCCTAAACATTTTATCTATTAAACGCAATCCCGTCTATCAATTTTTACTGATACTTACATTTATTAAAAAAATTAAAAAAAAAGTTCTGTGACATTGTTCATGTACATTATGAAAATAGCAGCCCTGTAATAAATAAAACAAATAAATGAAACTAATATAGGCAAATGTTACTTATACTGAAAGAACAGTGGCTCTTAAGATGAATTGTTACTTCTTACATGAGATAGCAAGGCTCAAAGTAATCCATGGGTAATGGAAACCTTGGAGAGCCATCAAAGCTCTTAAAGACCCCACTCATGCGCACCAAATAAATGCATACTCTTTGCATTAACTCCTTCTACCATTTCCCTTGTGCACTGATGACATAACTGGACACCAACTGCGCTGTATGACATCTCAAAGTGAGGGAAAGCTCTTGTAGAATGATTGTCTAATACTGAAAAGGCCAAAACACACAACTGAAGCATGGCTACTTGCTTTCATATAAAGTGGAAAGAACACCAGTGGCACACAAGGACAGATTGCTTTCAGTTTTTTCTTAATGAGGAAAGAAAAGCTTTACGCTGAGGAAACATTCGGCTGCTGTGGAGGTTGCGTTGGCTGAGGAGGCTGTGCTATCACTGTTTGCAGTTGTGAAGTGCTACTAGGATTGGCCTGTTGAGTTGAGAGTTGGGATAACTGATCATTGTTTGAAAGAGATTTTAACAGTGCATTTTCTCGTTCAAGTAAAGAGTTTCTTTCGATTAATTCTTTTATTTGTTCCTTCAGGACTTCCACTTCTTCTCTGACTGCGTACATCAAATGGCTTTTCACCAGATCCTGTGAACAGTAAGTCAGTAGTTACACAAACTGAAACAGCAGAGTTTACAATACAACTCCGTCCTGCTCGGTCTTAAAATGTTAGTATGATTTCACTTATTCCATTAAAGTTCATCTGGTGCCCAGTAACACTTTAAAAAAAAAAATCACATGAACAAGTTAATGTTTAAGAGCAAATAATCTAGCACCTGAGGAAGTTGCTGCAAATCTCCAATCTGAAAGGCCCTAAAACACTGCATGCTAAATGGCTTCTACTGCACAATGGAGTAGGCATAGGCATTTCCATTAAAACTAAGATCTTTTCTACTCCACAGGAATTATGAAAGTTTTACAGTAATCTGAATATAAATGGAGCTTTTTGAATGGCCTTCTAGTTACATATGTATTTTAATGCCCCCCTCCCCCCCCAAAAAAAACCACACTTCATAATAAAAACAGGCAGCAGGCTGTGTTCTAGGTTTTGGCCTCATGAGAGGCATACGTTAACTGCACAGAATATAGCTTTTTGCAACTAGCATCTTGTAGATTGTTTTCAACTTGAAAGTCTGAACATGAATACTATAAATACACATGCATTTAGTTTTGCAGGATGGCATGTACTGGGGAGCCAAGTAGTCCAGTGATGAGACAACTGGTCTTATTGCTAGGAATCCATACAAGGGGGACAATGTGATTAGACGATAACTGAAAAATGGTGTTCTGGGAGCGGATGATAGGATCCTGCTGCACAGCATACAAGAACCAGAAAAACTCAGACTGGGAGGAGGTGGCAGAGTTGGATTTCAATTTTGTTTAATTAAATATTAAGTAACACTTTTTTAAAAAAGTGTGCTATGTCTTCTGTGTCTTACATGTAATCCAAGATTTTATGTTAAATTCTTTCAAAATGTTTAAAAAAAACTCTTGTGTACCAACATCAAGGGTAGGAAGCTCTTTGGATCTTACATAAAACTAATCCTGATCTGTTGCCATTCCATAATCTAGGAAAATTCACTCTTCATATGATGGAATGGAAGAATCAGACCTAATTGAGGGGAGGAGAACAGACATTACATCTGCAATTCTGGCTAATGATACTCAATTTTATTCTAGTAATCTGCATTATCTGGAAGATAGCATGTTTGAATAAAAATGAACATAGCTTGAAAGATTTCATCTAATTCATTAACTGCTTGTCCTATTCGAGATAGGAATCTTTGTTTTCTACTTACCATTGCCTGTTCTATTTTGTTGTCAATGGCTACAACACTTGCACCAGACGCACTGTAAAAAAAAAGAAAATTCAGTGGATATCAGATTACTTACTTGACTAAACATTGAACCCATTTGTACATACAAATCTTGCAAGTAATAGATTGTTAAAGGTCAGTCTCTCAGCAAAGGTACATGTGTCATAAGACAAACTCTTAAGAGGCTTTAAGAATTCCATAATACATTACATCCTCTGTGGAAGTTCTCCTTAACTGTCTGGAACAATTAGAGCTCTGAAATATATATATTGCCACTCCCCATTCAAGCTTCTTCAGTTTACCAACTACAGTAATGGCTATGTTAACTGGCTCTGTACCAACCTGAAAGTTCTATAAACTGGCATTTCTAATCTTCGTAGAAAGTCCAGTTTATAGTCCGGTTGGCACGGGGCCGGCAGACTCTCTACCTGGCTCTGCCTGGCTCCCCGGAAGCAGTGACACGTCCCTGCTGCTCCTAGGCGGAGGAATAGCCACATGGGGTTTGGAGTGCGGGATGGGGCTTGGGAGGGGCTTTGGAGTGCCGGATCCGGGCGGTGCTCACCTTGGGCAGCTCCCCGCAAGCAGCGACCTGTCCCTGCTGTTCCTAGGCAGAGGCACGGCTAGGCTGCTCTGCATGCTGCCTCCACCTGCAGGTGCTGCCCCTGGTTCTCGGCCAATGGGAACTGTGGAGCCAGTGCTTGGGGTGGGGCAGGGGCAGTGTGCAGAGTTGCCTAGCCGCACCTCCGCCTGGGAACAACAGGGACAGGTCACTGCTTGCGGGGAGCCGCCTGAGGTGAGTGCCCCCTGGATCCGGCACCTCGAAACCCCTCCCGCGCCCAACCCCCTGCCCCCTCCCACACCCAAACTCCTTCCCAGAGCCTGTGCCCCACATACCCTCCCATGCCTAAACTCCCTCCCTCTTAATTAACTGGAATTTTTCCCCATACCCCCCCCCCCATATGCCAGATAAAGTTTTTACTGTATAAAACATAACCCCCATAATCCATGCCTTTGGACACCTCAAATTACCAGCCATTATATACCTTAATCTAGTTCAGTTATAGTTTAATTTCCCTTCCTCATTATCCACACTCTCACTTAGAGAAACAAAAGGTTATGTAATATGTTAGCCAATATGCCGACTTGCTACATCATACACCAATATGAAATGTTTTGACACACAAAACCAACAACCTTGTAGTAGTATTTGTCCTCAGCATTTACTTACTAATTAGCTGCCAGTAGAGAAGCTATATAATCAGGAGTGTTCCTATGGCTTTGCAGTAGTGCGCCAGTAATCAATGAGAGCATTTAAAAAAAAAAAAAACCTCAAAATTCTGGAATCCCACAACGGTGTTCATTTGCTCCCAGGAAACTCTGGATGCCCCATCCAATAAGGTAACTAGAATCCTATTGTAGGCCATTAAATTAGTCCCATTTAGGTGCTTACTGGTATGGGACATGTTTCTCCAATGCCAAATGCTAATGCAGAGTGTTTGAGCAAATCAGGTTTCAGACCATCAGCACAAGATGGCAAAATGCCTCAATGCATTTTAGGAACAGAGTTTTGCAGACTTTTAAGATGACAATATTTATGCTTTCAGACAGTCTAATTAAAAAAACAACCCATTTTAATATGAATTTAACAACAAAATTGTTTCAGTGTCTTGCTAACTTTCAAGCTTCCTCGAGTTACAAGGGTACTGTAGATGTCCTTCCTCAAAATGGTCACCAAAGCTAGCTTCCTTTTTCTTCTAGCATTACGATTCAGATATATCCCTATTCTGTAACTAGCTAAGATAGTTTAACATGTTAGCCTACCACAAAAATCAATTTAAAAAAAAAAGACAGCCCTTCAAGTGTCATCATTAATCTCAAATAATCAACTAGTACGCATCCAAAGTGCAACTTAAGGAGAGAAAAACCATTACCAATAAACTTATTTTAAAAGGTGGGGTTTTGGGGGGGGGGAGGGGAAGGAAGAAGTAGAAAGTAAACAGTTTATTTTTGTGTTTTGCTTTCACAGAGGAAACAGTTTGTAGCATGATTATATGCATTTTGAACATAATATTAAAGTGTAATTCTAAACAGTAAGAATGAAATCTTCATTTTGGATTTGAAGTTTAAACAGTCCTGTAGTATTAATCTGTTTCAGTAAGACAGCTTTAACTATCAGGGTGCAGGGTCTGCCTGTGCAGTCACTTGCAGAATTAGGACCCTTGAAATTAGAATTTAACCTTAACAGCCAGGACTATGACTGAACCAGTATGCTGTGCGGTAAAGTACAGCAGCACATCTCTGAAGCAACTATCTTGAAATGAAAACCTCAGTTTTCATTTAAAAATTAGATTAAGCCGCTAGATGTTATGGCTGAGAAGAAACTCCCCAAACATGAACTGAGTACAAGTGACAAGGATGACTAGAGCACCACCTTTTCTGTCCTCACATGGACGTCTATCAGTATTTAATATATTAATTTTGGAGAATATCTCTGGGCAGTCTACCATTTAGAATGAGTAGATCTGCCTGCTTTTTTAATTACATCAATATTCTGGTTAGAAGATTCTGTGAATGAAGGTTTGCTAAACCCACGTGAAGTACACTGAACTCACTTGAGCAACACAGTTAAATGTCATTTCATTGCCTAAAGTTTTTAGAAGTGACAAATCAGATTAGCAAAGAGTTTTTATTTTAGAGGGGAGTGTGGAGGACAAAAGAATGTCAGGGTTAGAAGATTACAGAAAACACAACAAACTTTAGATAGGACTCCAGCACCGAGTGTAATGGTTCAAGCATAGCAATATTTCTTTTGTCCATTTAAAAAAAAAAAAGTTATAAAGCTGTCTTAGAGGCTAACAGAATTCTGATTAAAAATATATCAAGTCTCTAAGTTGTAAATAAAAGATTTATTTTAAAAGACAGGTAGATTCTTTACAACTAAAGACACTTGATCCAGCTCTTACTGAATCCAATAGGAAAATTCCCACTAGACTTCAACAGAATCAAGATTGGCCCCCGCAATGCTTTAGGGCCATCTGACAACCTACAACCCCTTTCCCTATATTTCCACTCTCCCTTGTTGCCACCCTTCAAAATAGCAAGGATTCCAGTCTGAGTCAGTTAGCTGGGACTCCATTCTTCCCTCTAAAAAGCCACAGCAAGATAGGCACATATATACATTTAGTTCCCTCTCATTTTTAGTCAGTTACTAGAAAAAGAGGAAAAACCCCATTGAACTGAGAATCTCTTAGAGGCTGGGAGTTACAGCTATTCCAACAGCTATCTGTGATGCTGTTAAAAGCACAACAAGCCAGAAGTGAATCACATTACAGAAAAGAGGAATTTTTAAAAAAGGTAACTGGAGTTTGCTTATTTTCCTAATGTCAATTTACAGGGAGAATTATAATGCAACACTCCTCCCCCCCTTAAGTTATTCTTAGGCTATGTCTACACTATGTGCCCTGTAGTGACACAGCTGTGGTGCTACAGCTATGCCGCTAAAAGGCGCGCAGTGTAGCTGCTCTTTGATGGCAGGAGAGAGCTGTGCTGCTGAGTTCGCCACGCTGACCAAACAGGAAATGAAATTCAAAAGTTCCTGGGGCTTTTCCTGTGAACCTGGCTAGTGCATGGGAGTTCAAAGTGCTGTCCTGAGTGGTCACAATGGAGCACTCTGGGATAGCTCCCGGAGGCCAATACCATCGATTTGCATCTGCACTACCCCAAATTCAACCCAGCAAGGTCAATTTTAGCGCTACTCCCCTCGTCGGCAAGTGGAGTAGCCTCTGGGAGCTATCCCAGAATGCTTCCTTGTGACCGCTCTGGACAACACTCAACTCTGATGCACTTGCCAGGTAGGCAGTAAAAGCCCCGGGAACTTTTGAATTTCATTTCCTGTTTGGCCACTGTGGCGAACTCATCAGCACAGGTGACCATCAGGACAGTCCACCATCACAGGCGACCATGCAGAATCCAAAGGCACAAAATGAGCTCAGACTAGCTACAGGAATAAAGGGAAACAAGACGACTTTTTATCAATACATTAGAAGCAAGAGGAAGACCAAGGACAGAGTAGGCCCACTGCTCAGTGAGGAGGGAGAAACAGTAACAGAAAACTTGGAAATGGCAGAGATGCTTAACGACTTCTTTGTTTTGGTCTTCACCAAGAAGTCTGAAGGAATGCCTAACATAGTGAATGCTAATGGGAAGGGGGTGGGTTTGGAAGATAAAAATAAAAAAAGAACAAGTTAAAAATCACTTTGAAATGTTAGATGCCTGCAAGTCA